TTCTATTTTGAAATATTTGAGGTACATGCTAAAGTGTGCTGTATGTGTAGCAATCCCTTCAGTGAAATTTATTTGTTGTCCTTATATTCCTTCTGTGGCTTTTGTATATTTTGTATATTTACTTTGTGATAGATATTTTTCTGCTACAATGTATAGATTATTGACTGCATCATCTTAGTAGTTCAGTTTTTTTTTAATATAGGCAGTGTGTGATCATACTTTTCAAATAAGGATTTGTGTTCTTTGAAGTGGTGGTTTGTTATTCCTTGTTAGGTTTTTCATATATTTCAAATATCCTTCAGATTTTGTTTTGTAGTATTAAGCCTGCCTTGGATGTCAGAAATGATGATGGGTACATTTGAAATCATGATACTCATGTATCTGCCTCCTGAGTACAAGTCCAATTATAGATGATACATTCCCAATATGTGCTGTTTTCTCAACATAGTTTAGCAACGTTATTGTAAACTGCTTAATAGAAGATAATATAAGAAATATTAAATTTCTCATGTGTGTATTCAAAAGAGTTTTTTCTTTTATCTGGTGGAGATATTGGTTCTGGGAATCAAAACCTGACCTTGTGGATGAACAGCCAGTTTTCTAAATACTAAGCTTTCTAATCCACATGAATATGTGATTAATAGTAATAAGTATGATTGGGTGATCTAACGTCATCTTTATCTCAGCCCTGATGTCTAAAATATATATATGATTCATTGTATCAGAAACTAACTGAGAACTGGTGCTTATGAAATTCTCCAGGTTCACCTCTCCAAAAAATGAGGCAAAAGTACAAAATAAGTGATCAACAAAGAAATTGACCATGAAAGTCTTTTAGAAATGGTTGACTAACCAAAGCCACAACAGTGAATTTCTCTCTCATATGGTAAATAGGCATCAATGGGAGCCCAAAAGCTAACATGTGAGATGTACCCCTGCTTGATTTTATACATCCTGTGAGGATAGAACACAAACTTGCAGGCATGAAGTCTTACTTGTCTGAATGGTCTCATATTTTTCTTCCCTGATACCTGTAGAGCTCTCAGTTGTGTGCAGATCTCTTGCCTTCTATCCAAACCAGTTATGACCCAAGGATGGATTAATTATCTTATGTCTTCACCACTGTTCCAAATAGAATCAGGCAGGTATCATCTCAATAGTTTTCTGTCCAAAACAGCATGTTCAATTCTGAAAACATAACACACAACAAACAGAAATTGACTCGGCAGACTTTATTCAAACATTTGTACATACTTAATTCAAACATACTTAACAGAAAGAAGAATGGAAAAAAAACTGTGAAAAAAGAGGGAAATGGATACAATGTAATTTAAATAAAATTTATGACAATAAATGTTAAACAAAAATGTGGCTAGAGATTGAGCTTAGAAATTAAGAGCACTGGGTATTGTTGCATTGGAAAGAAGTTTTATTACTATGAACACTGGTTCATCTCCATCTCCTGTAACTTCAGTTCCAAGCAAACTTATTCCCTCTTCCTGCCTCTGCAGGCAATGCACACATCCAAAAATTAGTAAGCACACATATACATGAACAAAAGATTAAAAATAAAATTCTTTCTGGTCATTCATAGAAGCAGATGTGGCCTTCCTGTGAGCGAGCTTGCTCAGAGGAAAAGTATCCATAAACTGAGGAAAGAATAGCACAGAATAGCTATTCATTTAAGAATACCAGACAGAGTATGCATAAGTCTGTCCCATTTTTTTTAAATGAGTTCAATGTGCTTTTATGTATGAGGATTGTGGCGCTGACATATATTTTAATGTATCTTTGACAGCATATAGCATAGTCTATTATAATACATTTTGCTTCATAATATATTTTTATTTAGATCATAAGGAACAATCTGAAAAATAGTTTTGCTTTGTAAATCTCCATGAGCCAAAATGGTTAGATA